AAAGAACAACAACTATATATGTACATGACATGAAAACTTTAGCCAGAGATTTCTATTTTGATATAGAAAAAACATTCAACATTGAATGAAAAGAACTCCCCCTTCACTCATGAAATGGCTTTGCTTCAATGGATGGCAGAGGGTCCATAGTGCTTTTTCCTCCAACCTTGAGCAATTTGTGTGAACAGATTATGATGAATTTCCACTATGCTTATGGCCTTGAGCTTCCTCCCTTTGCAAACTATAAATGTGAAGATAGGTAGTTGATGTTTATGGGGCTACTAACCATGGATAGTGTGTGCCTATGTGCAGTGGTAGGATTTCTCAACTGGAATCATCATTAAATAATTTAAACTCCAACCTATAATTTGATTTTTATTTGTGTTGCAGTCTTTGTCCTATCTTCCTTTTGTCATAGCTAATGCACTCAAAGTCAGACTTAATGATGGTTATAACATGGTTTCCAATGTCTTGAATGTCAGTTTTATTCCTCTCTTTTTTCATTTGTTCGTTTTCTTTTCTCTTTTTGCATTAATTGGTATTATAATTTTAAAATTTTCCAAAACAATATTGAAAACATACGCAGTAATAAACGTTTTTATGTATAAGTTTTAGCTAGTCTTTTCTAACTTCAAATTGTGGGGATACCAATCATTTGGGTTTACAACAACACTCACCTACTGGAAAATCACCCAGGTAAAAGCAGCCATTTGGAACCCATCCATTAAAATTCATTGCACATGGAGAGAAGCAATCTTCAGTTTTACTACAGTTTGATTTCTCACCCCCGCAGTACAGATTTGCACAGGTGAACACATTTTCTTGAGCCTTTGATAATGAAGCTTGTTGTAATACCACTATAATGGCAATGCATATAATAGCTATTAAAGTATTGATGTTAGATGCAAAAGCATCGATGAGAAGAACAGTTCATTCTTTTGAATTGTTTCACAACTTTACCGATATGATTTGTTTTGTTTTTTCTAGGATAGTCTGTACATTTCCAGTTTTATTCCCCATTTTACTGTATTCATCTAGTAATTTGTTATACAGTTTTCAATATGATACTCTTGTGTTGTTATTTGTGGCAGTTTTCAAGATCAAAGGGTGAATGAAGACAACGGAAAAAACTAATGGATTGTGTGTTGAAATCCATAAGTGGAAGAAGAATGTGAAGAAACAAAATTAAATGATATAATGCAGAGTAGATACATATAATAAATAGAGTTAACATGTTGAATTATATATTTATTGTGACACTTTTGTATGTTGTTTTTGTTTCTTATTGTTGTATCATGTGTATTACTTTTTGTTGCATCATGTTTCTTTTTGTTGCAACTTGTTGTTTCTTGTTGCATCGTGTTTCTTATCATTGTATTTTGTTACTAATCGTTGTTTTTATTAATTTAGATTTTTTTCATTTAGGTTTCTATTACTTTTGCGACCTCCTTAAAATCAAATGTCTCTATAGATTTTTAAACAAACACATAAAATGATCAATTTATATTTATGAAAGTAAACAACAACTTGATACATAATGAAACAATAAAAAACAAAGTTTTCATAATTTTAAACAAAAAGAAACACATAGAAACAATAGGCAACAAAAAAAAATAATAAAATAATAATAATTAAATAGTTTAAGTTCTGTAAGAAATATTACATTATAAATTTCCTATTTTATTTTTATTTTTTCCAAGTTCATTATTTTGATTTTTCATATTTTTATTCATTGATTTTAATTTAATTTTGATGTCTTTTAGGTTCCATTAATTTTCTTATTTTTTTAAAAAATTATGTAATATATATCTATTTTTTCCACTGTAATATAAAAGTTAACTTAACTTTTCGAATGAATTCAAATTTTTTATATTTATTTAAATTTTAGTTTCTTTAATATGTATATTTTCCAATTTTTTAAAATAAATTTTTTTTTCATAAAATATTCCAATTAGTTTTCTTATTATTTAATATTTTCAAACTACTTTTATCTGATTTTACATATTTCTATTACTTTTAAAGTTATCAAATTTTAAACTATTTTATACTTTTTTATTAAAATTTTGATTTTTTATATTTTATAATATAGATTATATTATCTAATTAAAAACACTACATTAAAAAATATTTCTCAAGTTTTTTATTTTAATATTTCTACATGTTTATTATTTTTCTAACTTTTTTTTTGTAAAATTTACATTCATTTTCTTTAATTTTTAAATTTAACTTACAATTTTCCAATTTTTGTCTTGGAATTTTATTTTGATTTTAAGTTCTTATGTTTTTTAAAATCAATTTTTTTTTTTAATTTTATTGTTTTCTAAGAATTATCAACTATATGAGTTAATGATTTTTTGCATTTTTAGCTTATAAATAAAAAGTTGAGTGAGTCCCTCGTACTATTTCTGAAGAGGGGAGTAGTGATTCAATCTTTGGTGCATGGGTGCACGTGTGAGGAGAAGAAATAAGAGTTAGTGGGCTTTATACATACAGACGGAGTGAGACGGTCCATTTTTGAAAAAAAAACTTGGAAGTAACCTTTTTTTGAAAGAAACCGTTAAGGGTGACAAAAGTGATATAACTTTTACTTTTTAGCCTATTTGTGAAAATTTCCCTATATTAACGGCCTAACACCCCCCTCAAGTTGGAGCATGCGGTTCAAAAATGCCCAACTTGCGAAGTAAGTATAAAAATTGTTGTTTGCCGAGAGCTTTTGTGAAAATATCGGCAAGCTGATCAGATGTAGACACGTGACGAGCAATAAGTAACCCATCTTGAATAGCATCCCGTACATAATGACAGTCCACCTCAATGTGCTTCGTGCGTTCATGAAAGACAGGATTGTGTGCAATGTGTAGGGCCGAACGACTATCACACATCAAGGACACGGGTTGAGAATGACGAATACCAAGAGTCAGAAGGAGTCCTTTAACCCACTTGAGCTCGGCCGTGATAGCCGCCATGGATCGATATTCCGCTTCGGTAGAAGATCTAAACACAGTCTGCTGCTTCTTGGTTTTCCAGGAAATAGGAGAATGACCAAGAAAAATTATCCAACCGGTGAGAGAACGGCGAGTCAAAGGACAACTAGCCCAGTCAGAGTCACACCACCCAGTAAGCGTAAGATCGCAGTCAGAACGAAGAAGAATACCCTGGCCCGAAGTACCTTTTAGATAGCGAACCACGCGGAGGGCTGCCAACCAGTGATCCTGCCTGGGTGCCTGCATAAACTAAGACAAAATATGAATAGCATAAGCTAAGTCCGGTCGGGTAAAAGAGAGGTATAAGAGACGGCCAACAAGTCTTCTATAACGCTCATGATCAGTCAATAAATCACTCTGAGAGAGAGCCAAAGCATGATTTTGCTCCATAGGAAAAGAGGCAGGTTTTCCCCCAAGTAGTCCAGCTTCTGAAATAATGTCCAGAATATATTTTCGCTGACAAAGAAAAAGACCATCTGCACCACGAGCCACCTCAATCCCAAGAAAATATTTTAAGACACCCAGGTCCTTCATGTAGAAGCATTCATGCAAATATGATTTAAACTGAGAAATAGCACCGGAATCATTCCCGCCAATGATTAAATCATCAACATAAATAAGCACATATAACTGAGTTGTCCCTCGACACATAGTGAAAAAAGAGTAATCAGAATAAGATTGAGAAAACCCATAATTCTTTAAGGAAGTAGTTAACTTAGCAAACCAACACCGCGGTGCCTGGCGGAGCCCATATAAAGATTTTCGCAGACGACACACCTGCCCAGGCCAAGAAGAATTAAACCCGGGTGGGGGTTTCATGTAAACTTCCTCCTGTAGATCGCCATGAAGAAAGGCATTGTGAGCGTCCATATGATGAAGTTCCCACTGTTTAGCTGCAGCAACAGCTAAAAACATACGAACGGTAACCATTTTGACTACAGGAGCAAAGGTCTCCGTGTAGTCAATACCTTCCTGTTGATGATTACCAAAAACAACCATGCGGGCCTTTAAGCGTTCAATGGTACCATTAGAGTGATATTTAATTTTATACACCCATTTGCACCCAAGAGCTTTCTTACCAGGTGGAAGGGGTTCCATGACCCAGGTACCATTATCTTCCAGAGCACGAATTTCCTTCTGCATAGCCTCTCGCCAACCAATGTCAGACATGGCCTCTTTAAAAGACCTAGGTTCATGACCTGTAAGCAATGCTCCAAGAAAACACCGTTGACCAGTAGAAAATTTGTCACATTGTATATAATGAGCTATAGGATAAGGAGTACCTGAGGAACTGACGGAAGCGAGAGACAGCGGGGACGGGCTCAATGTGTGAATATGGTGCGTGACAAAATCCCGAAGCAATACTGACGGACGTTTAGAACGTAATCCACGGCCGAGGAGAGGAGTATCGCAGGGAGCAGTTGTCTCCAGGGCCAAGACCGAGACAGGAGGTACCTCAATGCAGCGGGAGCCGGGTCTGGGTCCAAGATGACCGGAGCCGAAGGTAGCGAAGCAAAGGCAGACATATGGGTATCCGAGGTTGTAGGAACCCAAGTCAGAAATGGAAAAACGTTCTCATGAAAAGTAACTTCACGAGATATAAAGAATTCACCCGTGTGCCAATCCATAACCTTCCACCCCTTTTTCCCATGAGAATAGCCCATAAAAACATCACGCCGACTGCGGGGATAAAATTTATTTTCCCGACATCCAACATTGTGAGCAAAACAAAGGCAGCCAAAAACCCGCAAGTGGGAAAATTCAGGAGGTGTACCATTAAGAAGCTCATAAGGAGTCTTTCCGTCTAAAAGACCAGATGGTGTTCTATTAATTACATGCACAGCAGTCAGCACGCATTCACCCCAAAAACGGATTGGAATATGAGCTTGGAACATTAATGCCCGTGCCACATTTAAAATATGGCGGTGTTTGCGCTCTACCCGTCCATTTTGTTGGGGTGTATAAACACAAGCAGTTTGAAACAGAATGCCATGGGAGTCAAAATAAGGAATCATGCATTTAAATTCGGTCCCGTTATCACTGCGCACAGTTTTGACAGATACAGCATATTGTTTCTCAATCATAGCAATAAAAGAGAGAAAAAACTGACGCACTTCCTTTTTGTCACGCAACATATAGACCCAAACTGCCCGGGAAAAATCATCCACAATTGTAAGAAAATAAATCACATCACATGTAGACGGGGTTTTATATGGACCCCACAAATCACAATGAATGAGTTCAAGTGCTCTACTAGCTTTATTGATACTACTAGGAAAAGAATCACGAACTTGCTTTGCCTGAGGACAAACTTCACACACTGTAGGATTGTAGGTAACTTCTTTGGCGACGAACTGGAACCAAATGCAGGTAACAACTTCAGAACACGATCAGAAGGATGACCAAGACGACGATGCCATAACTCAAACTCTGATACTCCTACGGATGCCCGAACATGATGTAGAACTGGTACCCGTCTGAAATAAAAGAGCCCATCCCTCCGTTCACCGGCTCCAATCAGGTTCCTCGAGGACAGGTCCTGTATAGCACAAAATTGATTAGTAAATGTGACAATACAATTATTTTGGTCAATCAATTGCGATACAGAAATAAGATGACAACGAAGCCCCGGTACATAAAGAACATTGTCAAGAATAAAACCCGGAGCCAAGATGACCCGGCCTGACACAACCGCGGCCACCTTACGTCCGTCTGGCAGCCCCACCGGACACGGGGGGATAGTACCGGGGTTCGTGAGACAAGCCACCTCTCTGGTAACATGATGCGACGCCCCAGTGTCGATAATCCACTCAAAATCAGAAGACATACCCGACATGCGATCAGATGAACGAGTATCGGTATTAAGTAAATTGAGGAGCGCTTGCACCTGTTCAGTGGTCAAAACAACCGAGCCAGTGTTGGACCCCACACTAGATGAGGAAGCAGTTTCAGGAGCTGGCAGTAGGGTAGCCGCTACAGCGTTCATGCTAACCCCCCCTCCACGGCCAGTCGGAGTACTTTTGTGGCGGTTCCGGTCTTCCCACCAGTCCAGATACCCATGTAACTTAAAGCACGAGCCCACTTCATGACCTTTCTGTTTACAATGACTGGACGTTGGCCTGGGGCTATCAGATTTTTCAACGCGACCCTTGGCGGAACAGTCCATTGGCAGAGCGAAAGCATGAACGTCGGCCGCAATGTTCTTCTCACGAATAGCAGCACGTGACGTCTCTTCTTGAACAAAGGCTTGGTATGCGCGATCAACATTGGGCAGGGGGTCCTGGGAGAGTAAATTCGAACGTACAGTGCCATATAACTCGTCATCTATGCCAACAAGAAACTGGTGAAGCCGTTCTTCAGCACGTTCGGCCTCAATCTTCCCAACAATATTACACGTGCAATTAGAGCACGTAAAAACCGGCAGAGGTTTCAATCGATACAATTCGTCATACAGTCCCATTAACAAGGTGTAGTAATTATCAACGCTCATGTTCTTCGTCTGTTTGCAGGCCGAGATAGAAGCTTTCAATTGCTGCAAACGCAGTCCGTTAGCGACGCTGAATCGCTTCTCCAAATAGACCCATAAGCTACGAGCGTCATCATGGAACGGCACTGAATTGACAATGGAGGGTTCCATGCTTCGTAACATCCACGACACCACCATAGAGTTGGCGGTGTCCCAATTGGACTGCTGGTCCGCTGCTTCCAGTCGTTTGAGCGTGCCATCGACGAACACGTTCTTCCGCCGGGCCTTCAAGGATAATAAAATAGCACGAGACCATGCTACGTAATTATCGCCTTTGAATATCATGTGAGTGATAAGATTCCCCGGTTGATCACCGGAACCAAGATAATAAGGAGAGGTAATATCCAATGTCATGCTGACCGATGGACTGAGGCACGCTGATGCTCAGAAGAACGGGCAAGCCGCGAAGAAGAAAGCAACGAGGACTACACGTCCGAGTTCTCTGATACCATGTTGAATAGAGGGCAGTATAGCCGAATGAATATTAGGGTTAATTCCCCCTTGTTTATTCAATAGAATAAGTAGAAGTATTTATACAAGTTAATTACAAGATAAAGGGTAAAATAATATACAAGCCCAAAAGATATCTACAGCCCATATACATATATTAACGGCCTAACAGAACCATTGATCTCAGGACCTTCTAGATTTTAAGAATTTAAGGGCGTGATTAAGGATGTTTTCTTTTGGACTGTTTTCAGTTCCAGACCAGACTTAAACAGACCAGACCAGACAAGACCAGACTTAAACAGACCAGACCAGACCAGACCAGACCAGCAAATTTCAGTCCAAAAGAAAACATCCTAAGAAGACATAAGGGTAATAAGGTTCTTTAGTCATTTGTGAACTAATACTCCATATATCTTTTGTACGATAGTATTAAGATATCTTGTACGGAGTAATTTAGGTATTAGGTAACTTGGATTAACTTGGAACACATGCATTTGGGTATACTTCAATCTGGGTTATGACCCTGTCTGGATAGTGGCGTTTTAAAAGAAACACTGACTTAATTCAACTCCCAAATGCTGCAAAATGTAGCTTGTATGACTTATCTCCTTATCCAAATTAACAAGAAAAATGCAATCAAATAGAAGGCTAGCTAGTAGCTTTAATATTTTTAAACATTGCAAACAAATCCCTCGTCTGACCATTCGAGATTCTCTTACAATCAAACTTTAGCATTAGTAAACCAATCTAAGTTATTAAACCAATCAAGTTAGCATAATCAAAGGATTAGTGTTTGATAGGAAAGTATCTTCATACATGTAAACAAAAAAAGCTGCCAAACACTTGCGTAGAATCAACAAATCATATCTTATTTGTTATGGACCTTATGGTTTCACTAGTCACATGTGTATGGTATAGTTGGTGCTAGCTAGGCAGGAGTCCCGTTAAAATGGGTTATTGTGACATTTCAACTAATTGACCAAAGAATGTGAACCAGTGGCATATATATACAAATTAACAATACATATTTTGTGGTCTTCCTTGCTTAATTAGGATTTGAAAGCAGATGCAATTCGCGAGTTGTAATTTTGACGTTTGAGGATTCATATATACTTCCATTTCCAGACGGGAGTGATATGTTTATTTTAAACTTCTTAAAATCTAAAGTGGACTTCTACTACTCTATCACTATTATTATGCAATTCACGTCCATTTCTCAGTTCTCACACGCTACACGCCTACACCTTTAATAAAGACAACTTCTTCAGTTCTTCATATACTCCTTTCGTCTCATCATTAAATTTATAATTTAAATTGACAGGATTTTCAATAAATAAAAAAATTCTGACGGTAAAACAGCACTTTACCAAAAATATAAGCCAGAATTTAATTTTGGGATATCCCATAAATAAAATTTGAATTTAATCGCGGGAAGGGGAGAGCATGTAACCAAGGATATTTTTAATTTAATTGAAATTTTCTGGTCTTGTTTAGTTTAGTCTGATGTCATCACACTTGGTCCGATTCGTTTAATTGTGGTCTGGTCAAAATTGATTTGATCGACTATAGTAGATGTTTGTTCTGTCACTTAATTATGTCTATTATACTATTGTCAAAGTCTGATACTACGTGTACTATGACCTGTTCCGATCTAATATGATTTGGTATTAATACATGTTTGGTAGACATAAGTCTGTACCTTCTAACTTTTATACTCCCTCTGTCCCATTTTATAAGATATATTTACTATTCACTTGGTCAACACAAATCACTCTTAATCTCTTACTTTATATATCAAAATTTTATGAAATTTGAATTATTTTTTGCAGGATCTGTAGCGGTTTTAATGTAGTTTCTGAATATGTATTTTTTTTTCTAAAAATAATTTGAGAGCAGACAGAGATCTGTTTGCTTTATCGTCGGTCTAATATCGTAAACCGAAAAGTATCTTATAATTTGGGACGGAGAGAGTACTATTTAAAAAGTCCTTAAGAGCTTCTAGATTTTGTAGCATCTGAGAAAAGTCCGTAGCTTTTAGCATTAATTAGGATGTTTTCTTTTGGATTATTTTCAGTCCCAGACCAGATCAGACTTAAACAGATCAGACCAGACCAAACCAGACATAAACAGACCAGACCAGACTTCTGTAGTTATAAAATACACAGAGACCAGACGTTTAATAGACCACACCAGACCAGTTCAGACCAGACTTAAACAGACCAGACAAGACCAGACCAGCAAATTTCAGTCCAAAAGAAAACATCCTTAATCCTAACAGCTTATATACCAACAAAACTAAGTCAAATAGTCATCTTTTTATCAATGGGCTACTACCTTTTTATATTTTCAATTACTAAAAGTTAAAAATTATTATAAAGTTCATTGCAATATTTTTTTAGCTAATTGTGTCCAAACAAGAGATACACTGAAATTAGTCCAATAAAAACCACCAGTATTCAAACTCGGTATGAAATAATGATCAGATATTCTTATCATTTTTTCAATCAGTGGACCTATTTGACCTATTTGTTCAACAATAGTGCTCCCAATTGAGTGGAATTCAATCCGGAGACATTCCGTGTAGAAGGTGACAAAAATGTTATCAACGCAGAAACTTCTCGAGACATTTTAATATTTATGGTCGAATTTTCTTAATAAATTTATATGACCCTTCCTTTTTCGACTAGTAGATTTGAGAAATTCAGAAATGTCAAAAATATAATAATAGTAACGTGTTATATTCAAATCCACGTCCTACACAACTAGCTTATATTGCTGTCATCTCTGTGAAATAATTATTACTCCGTATAAGATTCATACACCTAACATTTGAAGTCAACATGCTTTACAATTTTTAGAGAATTGTTATGTTTATCTTAACTCTCAAAATATTTAAATTTAAATTCAAGTTCTTAAACCTCACGACCTCATGTTAACAAAACAACGAAAGATGATAGAGTGGGGTCCGATTGGATTGGTAAGCAGTGGACTGTGGACCTACAGGGCCACCCAAACAAGTGGTTTACACTTAGCAGTGGGTCTATTGTTAGTTGGTCTGTGGGCAAAGGAGAGTGGTTTTGGCCCACTCGACCAATTGTTTGAAATTTTGTCAGCTAATTCTATTTGCTCCTCGATCCAAAAGGTGGATGATGAACTTAGCTTCCTGGATAAAATGATAGAAGAGTGAATTATTCAAAATAAGCTTATGTTAACTGACTCCACACTTTGACCTAGTAAATGAGTAAATTACATTATGATCTCAAATAGTTTCTGAGTAAGATGATTCACAGTTCGATTTACATAAGACGACTCCATAGTGAATGAAACTCTCAAATTGCTGATACCAGTGATTGAATCTGAGACGTCAATTTAATCGGTTATTGTTGAACCACTCATTTAAGTGGCTACTTCTATTATTTGCTCCTCTCTTAGCTTGTGAAGCCACCTTAGTTTACTACTACCTCAGTCCCATTATTTAAAAAATCATGTCCATTACTCTCTAATCAAATCAAAATATTTTGAATATTTGACTTTATACATTCAACTTTTATCATTTTTTTGCAACTTTATATATTTTTTAATTAGTTTCTAAATGCGTATTTGTTTTAGTAAATATTGTGTATAATTTATTATTGATGGAGATTAATTAATTTTATTCCGTCAGACATCACAAATAATGTGGGAATTTTAAGTGTGGGGAATAACTTTTAAGGAAAATGCGTTTGGTACACAAAACGTGTACACAAAATGTGTATACATGTCTGTCCTTTGGAGAAAATTTGTCTGTCACAGACAATTCATTATGAGTTGTCTGTGACAGACAAATTTTCTCTGAAGAACATACATGTGTACACATTTTGTGTACACATGTACACATTTAATACCCCAAACAAAATCCAACTTTTAATACCACCTGTTCATATCTCTTTTGTAAGGGTTCAAACCCAAATAAGTGGTTAGCAGTTAGCGGTAGGCAAACCATATGACAAACCAAATATAGTAAAACGTTCGAAAACTTTTAAGTGGATCAATCAAACTTTTATGATACTTTATAATATGCTTTTTAGTTCTAAACTACCCAATCAAACCTGATCCATTTACTAATCAGAAAAATGGGGGCATACAAGAATTAGGGCCGGTCCATTGGGATTTGGAAGTGCAAGAGCATCGGAATAGCCGAATAGGGGACCAGTTTTTACTTTTTACTCAAATAAAAACATTTAATTATCAAAAGTGATATGTTGAAACTCTAACATGCATATGTAATGATACAACCAAAATTTAATGAGTTTGTTGCTAGTTATTTAAAATAAGTGTAAGTATAATTTTTAAACCTTACCGATAGTTTCACGTTTTTTATAGGTTTTTTTTGGCTTTTTTTGGCTTTCCATAGGAATGTTTCTGCAGTTTTTCACTAGTCTGATACAAACTAGTGAAAAACTAGTTTGACCAAAGGCATCCCTGTAAGATAAGGGCAAACTTCTCTCTGTCAAATTGTCAATTTTTTTTATAAGAGACCGCTATTAAGACTCAACTCCATGACCTTTTGGTCACACAGCAACACCTTAGTCAGTGTGTCCAGACACCCCTTTTGAAATTCTTTGTACGGGAAAATTGTTTTAAAAATTGTAGATATCAATCTTCCAAACTTTTCAATCCATTTGTGATTCGGAGTGCAGTTTAATGTTCATCCTTGAATAAATTTTAGCTCAATATGATTATTATGTGGGTAGAAATGTACAATCATCTAATGCACACACAAAAATGAGCCTATCTAGCTCAATCAGTCATTTTGTGATTCGGAGTGAAGTTTAATGTTCATCTTTGAATAAACTTTAGCTCAATATGATTATTATGTGGGTAGAAATGTAGAATCATCTAATGCACACACAAAAATGAGCCTATTTAGCTCAACCAGTCATTTGATGTTGAATTCGTGTATTGCGTGTTATAGTATACATGACACGTGCGAGTATCTTAGGCTGTCATTTAGATAAACCCAACAGGTTAAGTACAAAGTAAACTTATCATGAGATTCATATGTAAAGAGGTAGGATGTCAAATCATAATGCAAGCTAGTAGAAGTAATTACTCTTTTTTTTCAGAATTGGAACGCAATAGAAAAAGAAATGAACATTTCATTCAACTCGATTAGTAAATCAG